GTGCTGTGGCATCACAGCTCACAGCAACCTCCAACTCCTGGGCTCAAGCGATTCTCCTGCCTCTGCCTCCCAAGTAGCTGGGACTACAGGCACCCGCCACAATGCCCAGCTATTTTTTGGCTGCAGCCGTCATTGTTGTTTGGCGGCCCGGGCTGGATTTGAACCGGCCAGTTAAGGTGTATGTGGCTGGCGCCTTAGCCGCTTGAGCCACAGGCACTGAGCCACAAACAAGATATTTTAAAACCTGATATTTAAAATAATAATCAGGTGAGGGGCAATGGGGAGGTGGGGAGTGTGAAAGAGGTAGCCCCACCGGTGTGGGGCCAGTCCTCCCCTCACCCACAGCCTCGCATATGGCCTCTTCACTGCAGGCAGACACAACCAAGCCATTTCAAACCCAGCACAGGAACAGAACTTCGCTTCCTCTCGGGCGCCCCGCTGTCCAGGGCTGAGGGCAGGCAGGAGGGTGGGTTAGGACTAAAGTTAACTAGACCTGCTGGGCGCCCCCAGGAAGACCGAAACGGTTGTCTTTCCTCCCCCAGCGTAGCGGCCCGGCTACCCCTCCCACTCTGGCGCGCGCAACTCCGGAAGTTACCCAGTTCCCTCAGGGTGGGTCACCGAGAGGACCCAAACCGGGAGCGGACGTAGCGGAGTGGGACCCGGACAGGGCCAGGCTGTGGGAGTGGGTTGGGCTTTCGGGTCCGGTTTAGAGAAAGGGCCTGGAGCAGGGCAGGGATGAGGACGCGAGCTGGAGGGAAGGGGCTCAGAGTGCACTAGGTGAACTCAGAGGGGCAGGCGCAGGCCGGAGAGATGCGATGGCGCTGTGTTCCGGTTCCGGGACAGGACGGACGGGCCGGCTGTGGAGGAGGAAGTAGGACCCGGCTGGAGATCAAAGGGGTGGAGTTGGGACCCCCGAGGAGGGGGTGGGCAGGGCCCTGGGCGGGGTGGAGGCGGGGCGTCCTGGGTCCGCCCCTCTGGGGTCTGTACCGCCCGCCGATCCCGTGATGTAGGTCTGAGCGTGCGGATCACGAGGCTGTCCGTGGACCACAGCCCTAGAAGTGACAATGACCTCGGAGGGGGACGTGCGCGCCCGGCTGCAGCGCGCTGGCCAAGAGCACCTCCTGCGCTTCTGGCCAGAGCTGGAGCCAGGGCCGCGCGCCGCGCTGCTGGCGGAGCTGGCGACGCTGGAACCCGAGGCGCTGCGCGAGCACTGCCAGCGAGCGGCCGCAGCCTGCGAGAATCCCCCTGGGCCGCCGCCCGACCTGGCCGAGCGCCTGCGGCCCCTGCCCCCCGAGCGCGTGGGCAGCGCGAGCCGCAGCGACCCTGAGACACGGCGGCGCTGGGAGGAGGAAGGTAGGCGTGGCAGCCCGCTGGGCAGCTGGGAGGGGGTGATCCCCAGAGTGGGACCGGAGAGTTGGAGCTTGACGGAGTTAGGTTGTCTCACCTTTTTGAGAAGTCTTCTCCCGCTTCATGCGTGCGAAGTCTCGGAGCCCCAGGCCCAGGTGTGGCTGGCCTTAAAGTGAAAGGTTGTTGTGTAGCAGGTGCCAGGCTTCTGCTCCTGACGCTCCATACCCCCAGGCTTTCGCCAGATTGCCCTGAACAAGGTGGCGGTTCTGCTGCTGGCTGGCGGGCAGGGCACTCGCCTGGGTGTGGCCTACCCCAAGGGCATGTATTGTGTGGGGCTGCCCAGCGGGAAGACGCTGTACCAGCTGCAGGCGGAGCGGATTCGGCGGGTGGAGCAGCTGGCCGGGGAGCGCCGGGGGACACGCTGCACTGTACCCTGGTGTGTCCTCCCGCCTTGGCTTGTCCCCAGAATGACCCTTTTCCTTGTAGACCCAGCCCTATCCCCAGGACCGAAGCCACAACCTCAGCACAGCCCTAGACTCTAACAGTTTGAGGTCTTACTGCAGTGACAGCCGAACTGAAGCCCCATCTGCAGACAGGGCCGGCTGTCCCTGAGGCGGCTCACCCCTGGGTCCTTGCAGGTACATAATGACCAGTGAGTTCACCCTGGGGCCCACTGCTGAGTTCTTCAAGGAGCACGACTTCTTCCGCCTGGACCCTGCCAACGTGGTTATGTTTGAGCAGCGGATGCTGCCTGCCGTGACCTTTGAGGGCAAGGCTATCCTGGAGCGGAAAGACAAAGTCGCTATGGCCCCAGGTACGGCCACCCCTGCGACAGTGAGTGCAGCTGGAGGTCCAGATATCTGGGTTCCAGGCTTTAGGCGTCTACGTCATCCTAGGCCAGTGGCCTGCCCTCTCTGGACCCTGATTCCCATTTGTCAGGTGCTACACCTCCAGGGCTATTTGGGGAATGACCCAGAGCCCGCCTCCATCGTGGCTGGGACCAGCGGGTGAGTCCTGGGTGGAGCCATCTCTTCTCTGTAGACGGCAATGGCGGCCTGTACCGCGCGCTGACGGACCACCAGATTCTGGAGGACATGGAGCGCCGGGGAGTGGAGTTTGTGCACGTATATTGTGTGGACAACATCCTGGTGCGGCTGGCCGACCCGGTCTTCATAGGCTTCTGCGTGCTGCAGGGGGCGGACTGTGGCGCCAAGGTGACCCCCCTGCCACGGCCCTCCCCGAGCTCCGCCCCTCCACCAGCCTGGTCACGCCCAGTTTTCCGTGCCTATCCTTGGCCCTAACTACAGGTGGTGGAAAAGGCTTACCCCGAGGAACCTGTGGGCGTGGTATGCCAGGTGGACGGTGTCCCCCAGGTGCTGGAGTACAGCGAGGTCAGCTCTGAGACCGCGCAGCTGCGTGCATCAGATGGGCGTCTGGTCTACCATGCAGGCAACATCTGCAACCACTTTTTCACCCGAGGTTTTCTCCAGATGGTTACCAGGTGTGCAGCAGCAGGTGGCTAAGGAGTGCCAGCCACAGAAACCTGTGCCAACCAGCAACTGGTGGGTTCAGACTGGGCTGAGGGCCCTGGGCCACTACAGCGATTGGAGGCTAGCCTGACCTGGCCCTGCTATGTCAAAAGGGGCTGATGGGCTTGGATGCAGAAAGGTTCTATGTTTAAACAACCAAAGGCTCTTGAGATCTGACATGAGCTGTGCTCTGCTGGCAGCTGTTCTGAAGCTCTGTGGCCACATCTCCCTCCTCCTGTTTAGCTTTCCTGGTGCCCACAGGTGCCATGCCTGCCCCAGGACTTACCAGTTTCTGTTCACCTGGGCAGGATGTGGTTGATGGTACCTGACTCTTGGCATTGGGGGTGCAGGGAGAGAGACCTATGCGCTCCCTAGAGATCTTGCTTGACTTCTGCTACTTCTGTTCTTGTGGAGTTTATCTGCCAGCCTGTCTTACGTAGCCAGGTGTGCCCAGAAATGGAGACAAGGCCCTCTGAACTGTACCTTTCCTCCCCCTTTGCCCTCCTACTCCCCAGGGAGTCTGAGCCCTTACTGAAGCTACACGTGGCAGTGAAGAAGGTCCCGTACATAGATGAAGAGGGAAATCTGATAAAGCCGCTAAAACCGAATGCGATAAAGATGGAGAAGTTTGTGTTTGATGTGTTCCAGTTTGCTAAGTTAGTGGTAGAAGTCATTTATTTTTTCCTTCTCTCCTCTCTCTGTTTTGGTGGTGGGTTCTAAGGCCTGTCCAGACAGGGAAATCGAGTTTCACTGAGGGGCCAAGGGGCCTCGGGAGAAGGCCAAGATGCTCTTGCCTTTGAGAGGAATCAGCCTCCAGGATGGGAGCATAGGGAACATCTCGGGCAGTTAAAGTCCTTGGAGGGACATTGGTCCCACCTCCTAGGCCCTCTACTGTTCCTCACCCAGGGTTAAGGAGGTGTTTACAGGCTGGGTTGCAGGGGAGGCTCCCAGGGTGCATAGCCCTTAACCTCGGGGTCCCAAAGTCTGGGCCTTTGGCTGGTGAGGATGGAAGAGAGGACCAAAGCCCTGGGTCATAGGTATGAAGACTCACTTGCTGTCTGTGGGGCTCCTCCCTAGCCCTGCTCCTCATCAGAACTGACTCTCACTTGGTCACTGGAAGCCCTGCCCAGATGAGGGACTCTGGGCTGGAGTGTGGAGTGACCTGCCCTTTTCCTCATCAGAAACTTCGTAGCCTTTGAAGTACTACGGGAAGAGGAGTTTTCCCCACTGAAGAATGCTGACCCAGCCAACAGGGACAGCCCTTGCACTGTCCGGCAGGCCCTGCTCGCCCAGCACTACCAGTGGGCTCTGCAGGCTGGGGCCCGCTTCCTGGATGCACACAGGGCCCAGCTTCCTGAGCTGCCCAGGTGAGGGTGGGCCCTGAGGTGCACCCAAAGGGGCAGGTTTTCAGGGGCCCCAGTACTCAGGCCTAGGGCCCTATTGGCTCTGCCACCATCCAAGTTGAGGAGGAAGCTTCGCGCCTGGTGCCATACTAGCAATAAGTGGCCATTTATCCAGCCAGCTCCAGGGTGCACAGTGAGCCTCAAGTTCTGCTCAGGGATTGAGGGAAGCCAAGGGTCTCAGCCCTCCCCAACTCATTCACAGCTTTGGAACTAGCCCTAGGCATGGCTTAGGGCTTTTTGGCTTTCAGAGCAGGAAGGAAAAGGACGTTTACTTTCCATCTCCTGCCACCACCTAAATCTGGCTGCCTGGCTCTGTGTGGGATGCTAGGAGTGCTTTCTACCCCAAACCAGGACCCATCACAGGGGGACACCTGCTCAGGGTTCAGGTATCCAGAGGAAGAGGTATTTGCTGAGAAAGAGCTGCAGGGAGCCAGCATGGGGAACTTAGCCTGCTGGGCCACCTCCTGTTTCAGGGGGTGCTGGGGAGGACTGGGCAGCAGATGCTGACAAGTGCACTTCCCTCAGCTTTCCCCTGAATGGAGACCCTCCAGCCATCTGTGAGATATCACCCTTAGTGTCTTACTCTGGAGAGGTGAGAGTCCCCTTCCCTTCCTGGGGCTTTTCTGGAATCAGGCTTGTGTAATTCAGAGGAGGCCTGTCTGGGGAGAGGTGGTGTTTAGAGGCAGCACAGCTCTGCCTGTTTGTTAGGGTAGATGAGTCCTTAAGTTGCAGAGGACTTTGTGAGTATTAAGTACAGTGGGTTTCCAGAAGCTTTTGCAGCTCTTGGGAGGGGTGAATGGGGATGACCCAGGTCTGAGCCTGGCTGAGAGAGGGTTGTAGTCCTCTGCTGCCATCTGTCTGGGGTTGGCCCTATCCCCCCTCCAAAAAGTCAGTCCCAATCTTGCCAGGATAGTCTCATGCTGACCTGGGGTCACGGGGGGTGGGGTGGGGTGGTGGTGGTCTTGTCCTGATACTTGGCAGAGCTGGGATCCTGCCCAGGTGCTGGGGCCACTTGGTTGTTGTGACCTGCTTGTCTCTAGGGTTTGGAAGTATACCTGCAAGGCCGAGAGTTCCAGTCCCCCCTCATCCTGGATGAGAACCAGGCCAGGGTGCTAAAGCCACCAGAGTTCTAACTTGCTCCTATATGCCACCCCCAGGGTTTTGGGGGCTGTAGCCCTGGCCTGGGGCTCTGGTGGTCACAGTGCCTTTCCAGCCTGCAAGAAACAGAAGGAAATGTGCTGGATTACTCTACAAGGGTGGGGCCTCACCTGTCACCCCTGGATGTGACTACGCCATGCTGTGGGGTCCAGCTGAGAGGCAGAAAGACTCAGGATCTTGGAGAATGGGACTGAAAGGAAGCTTTGTCGGGGCCCAACAGAAGTGTGGTGGCAGCTGGGAAGAGCAGGACAGGATGTCCCTTGGGAAGCCAGCCCTGGTCAGTACACAGAGTCACTGGATTCTTGACCAAGAGTGAAATGGCAGTAGCCCCAGCCAAGATGCTCTTCTGTGCTTTAGAATGAGGAAGCACAAGGTGGAGAATTCTATTCCCTCATGGGGCATGTTCAAAGGGGCTGCCCTTTCCCTCCCTGGCACCTGAACCAGTAACTAGATCAAGGTGGGATGTCAAGGCTGGCTCCCCAAGAAAAGTAGCCCAGGTGTCCATGATAGAGGTGGCTCCATGAGCAGCTTGGCCTGCTCACCTGAGGCTGAAGCCAGTACTCTCTGCCTCCCTTCCCTGTTTCTCCCTGTTTCCTGAGAGGAGGCTGCCACCTCTCAGCCTTAGCTATGGTCAGCATAAGGCTTCATTAGGTGCTTGTCCCAAGAACAAGTAGGACCAATACTGGTGGCCTCTGTGATGGCTGCTATTTAACTGACATGGGAGCACCACACCGTACCCCATCTGCCTGTACCTTCACAGATCTTGGTGCTCAGCCTCCTCCCAAACTCTGGGGATGGGGAGGCAGCTTCCATATTTGGTGCCTTGGCCCTGCACCCTAGACAAGGCTGGGGAAACCAGCTGGCCCCAGGCTCTTACCATGGTGTTGCTCTGAGACACACTGAGTTCTCACCTGGGAAAGGACAGTGGCACCAACCTTACCCCCTTGTGTGAAGACAGCTATGACAAGGAGCTTGCTGCTAAACTTTCACCTGCCCCCACCGTGGCCCACAGCCTGACATGGACAATCTACACGCATCCCTACTGGTTACTCCAGAGGAGGGATGCTATCTGGAAGGGTGGGTTTAGATGCAGCTGATTTGTCCAGTGCCAGAGGGCTCCATCTCACCATATTCATACATGAGTAAAGCAGCAGGGACAGGCTTACACCTTGCCATTTTTAGAACCAAAGCCCAGACTTCTGCCTCCACCCAGGCCCTGCCAACCACCTTGTTGCAAAACTCAAAAACAAACTATAGCTTGGGACTCTTCATTAGGTACTCCATAGACAAGCACACAGCCTGGGGCAGGAGAGGCTGTCAGACAGCACCGG